GGTCAGCAGGACTGTCTCCCGCTGGCGCATATCACGATCGTTCTGATCCTTGTCAGTCTGCAGCCGGGCGGCATTTGCCTGTGCATCGGCCAGACTCGCCTCCAGCTTCTTCAACTTTCGCTCGTTTGTCACCTGGTCCGAGCGCTGGGCAGCCAGTGCGTGGTTGGCATCTTCCAACTAAAAAAGAAAGAAGCCAGAAGCAATGAGACGACCTATAGAGCTCAGTGACAAGCAATAAGTTCAGTAAACAAATTAAAGAAAGGTGGGATTGGGGCTCCAGGCTTTAGTCGGTCATGGCTTCGGTCAGCAGCTACGAGAGAAGCAAAGGAGGGTGGGTGTGCCTTAAGCAGGTAGTCCACAGACCGATAGGTCAGCAGAATCGTCGGACTGAGGGCTCACTAGTACCTCCCGCCAAAAGCTGTTGGGGTCTATGGGCAAATCTGCCCCAAACAGGGGCAACTTACTCGCCAAAACCACAGAAAGGGCAAACTTGAGTGTCCTCAGGCGAAAAAGGAGGACGGTGATCAGCTTATATTCCCATACGATCTGCTTATTGCTTAGTACTCAGTTATTGTCACAGTCATAGCATATAGCAATATTAGTTGATTATGGAGCAGATTGCACTCCAGTAGGAGAGAAGGCGTCCCCTGAAACTTCAAGATAGTTAGATGTTGCAATGGGTCAAAAGTTAGCCTGAAAACGGCAAATGGCACCATGCGTCCTAGAGACACGGTAGAACTTGAGCTATTACTTAACAACGTTTCGTTGACCAATAAGATGACCCGGCCTGGCGGATAGAATTGAGAGGGTAGTAACCAACGAAAGCCCTGATATGCTTCGAGCCTCAAATAAGTAGTTACTTGAAATAGCATAAACCCAGATTAACATCCTGCTGGGATCGAGGGGATATGGGAAGAGGTTCTGAAAAAGCCCTGCTGTGCTCAGGGCGCCAACAATGTAATTACTCTAAATAGTTTAAACCCACATTCCCACACCTGTTGAAATCAAGGCGGTATGAGCTCCAGCGAATCCTTTAATCAGCGCCCCCTCTGACAAATGTTAGCTTCAGTGTTAGTAGCAGTACTACAAATGTGCAGCTACATTGCTAGCCAGTAGAAGTAGAAATAGAAGCAGCTGTATCCGTCCCGGCCTCCTGGAGCCTGTGTTAGCACATACTGAAGGTGATTGACGGTAGGTAGTGCAGTTGTACCAGCGCAAAAGTCTACTATCACTTAAAACTAAGTTAGACGGTGTTCTGGCCTACACTGGCGAAAGCGGCATACGCCTGATCCCGCTCGACCATCTCGAATCTGTCCTGTCGCCGGCTCAAGTGGGTTGAGGTTTCAGAGTGAGTTACACGGCCGTGTGTCTATTTCACTTAAATCTCGTCCCTGACTACAGCCAGCCTCCCTGCTCCTGAGCACATGGTGGATTTCATCGAAATCAATGGGCGAACTATCATGGTAGTAGACGCAAACCTACCTACCTATCTAGATATACAGATCAAGATTCCATTTAGTAGCAAACACGTCGCATCGTAAATAAATTGGCTACGCCCACAAGGTACTGAATTAAAGAAACTACAACTTTTTACATGTGAGAATTATTTGCAGAAAAGCCCCTAAATTGATATCCAGAGTATATAAACTGCTAATATGAACTGGTGCTTTGATAAACATGGTTGCCTTGTTTTGGCTGCATAGTTTACTGGGCTAAAAACAATTTAGTTCCCATGAGAAATATGCCTTTATTTGAATACGCAACACATGTCTGCCTTTTCTAATAATTTATGCAAAAGGAGCGTCTGTTTGCCAAGCCCAGCCTCTTAAGGAGGGGTGCGATTGTGTGTATGTGTGTAAGAAGTTAGATTGGGTTTATTTGCACCAGGAAACCTCTGATGTCTAGGACTGTGTTAGTAGGCAACCAAACTGTTTTGAGGTGAGCACTAAGACAGCGCAAACCGCATAATTGAGTTTCCTACGTGTACGTGGAAAAAACCCGGAATACACACAGATTGCTAAGTGTATAATTAGGGAAGCAGGTTGTTGCTGGAAGGGCCGAATAAGCAGAGAATCACTGATGAAATGCGAATCATGGATTATGTTGTCAAGTACATGTTGAGAAAAATCAACGAAATGACAAAACAGGCATTTATCTTCTTGTGCAGAAACACTGACGAGGACAGTTGCAACGCGTAACAAGTCGCCGGTATGTTCAAAATTAATTTCGAGACCTATCCTGAAAAATACTATTTTTGAACTGTCTGACAGAAAAAAACTGCATAAAACGACGTGACTGTTGAGAACGTACTGAGCAGTCAGGAGCTAGACACCAACCGCAGATTCCAACTAAACCATTACGCATTACGAAATGCAGTCAAGTTGTGCACAGTTGAGGG